CCCAGCTACTCAGGAGGCTGAGGCAGGAGAATTGCCTGAACCCAGGAGGCGGAGGTTGCGGTGAGCCGAGATCGCGCCATTGCACTCCAGCCTGGGTAACAAGAGCGAAACTCCGTCCCAAAAAAATAATAATAATAATAATAATGTTATTTTCTAGCCCAGCACAGTGATTCAGGCCTATAATCCCAACACTTTGGGAATCAGAGGTGGGAGGATCATTTGAGGGCAGGAATTCAAGATCAGCCTGGCGGGGTGCAGTGACTTACCCTGTAATCCCAGCACTTTGGGAGGCTGAGGCAGGTGGATCACTAGGTCAGGAGTTCGAGACCAGCCTGGCCTATCACATAGTGAAACCCTATCTCTACTAAAAATATAAAAATTAGCCAGGTGTTGTGGTACACACCCGTAATCCCAGCTACTCAGGAGGCTGAGGCAGGAGAATCACTGGAACCCAGAAGGCAGAGGTTGCAGTGAGCCAAGACGGCATCATTGCACTTCAGCCTGGGTGACAAAGTGAGACTCCATCTCAAAAGCAAAAAAGATCAGCCTGACCAGCATAGTGAGATCCCATCTCTACAAAAACCAAGGAAAAAAACTAGCTGGGTGTGGTGACTCCTGCCTGTGGTCCCAGCTAATTGGGAGGCTGAGGTGGGAGGATCTCTTGAGCCCAGGGGATTGAGGCTGCATGAGCTGTGATCATGTTACTGTACTCCAGACTGGACAACATAGTGAGACCCTGTCTCAAAAAAAAAAAAACTTGTTATTTTTCTAGATTATAAAATATGGCATGTTCATTATTAGAAGGCTGAGAAGCAGAACAGAAAAAAATTACGTCTTCTGTCATCCAGCCCTTCCCACGGCCCACCCCTCCCACGTGGACGTTTTGTTTATCAGCCTGTTTGGTAATTTTTTTTTTTTTTTTTTTTTTTTTTTTTTTCTGAGACGGAGTCTTTCTTGAGTTTTTTGTATATGGATACAAAAAAAAGAGAATATTGCTCTGTTGCCCATGCTGGAGTGTAGTGGCATGATCTTGGCTCACTGCAACCTCCACGTCCCAGGTTCCAGTGGTTTGCCTGCCTCAGCCTCCCGAGTAGCTGGGATTACAGGCGCACGCCACCACACCTGGTTAAATTTTGTATTTTGAGTAGAGACAGTGTTTCGCCATGTTGGTCAGGCTGGTCTCAAACTCCGGACCTCAGGTGACCTGCCCACCTCGGCCTCCCAAAGTGTTGAGATTACAGGCCTGAGCCACCGGATAATTTTATATTTTCCTTCTCCATACCACTGTATTGGAAGCTTTTTTTTTTTTTTTTTAATGGCAATGAGTGTTTTGAAGCAGCATCTACTCTGTAGTTTTGCCATCCTCACTGTAGCCATTTCCATGGGACAGATAATGCAGGATGTGTGTCTTGGCCTATAAAGTTTCATGTGGTCTGAGGGCTCCCTCAGCGTGGACACTATTAACAAACCCGGTGCCACCTCCCCCCACACCCCCCCCACACACACACACACACGCAACTGTGTGGTAAGCCTTTGCAGAGGCCAACAAATGGGCCCTGCATATCAGGTTCTGGTGGGCCTTGGCTTCAACTCTGGGGATGCCACCACCCTGTCAAAACCTGTAGCTGGCTCCTTCTAGAATGTGCTGTCCCTCTGCCCTCAGCCTCTGAGCACAGTAAGGGCTGCGTGTCCCCACTGGACAGTGCAGGTAGCCTGGGGTTATGTCAGATGGGAAGACTAAGGTTACACAGCCCCACACTGCAGTCCCAGGACTGGAACCCAGACCTCCCTGCCTCTTGTTTGTGTAGAAGACTCCTGGAGCAGGAAAGGAGGGTGGAGCAGCCCGTTGGCTGCCACCCCTGGCCCATGTTTTAGGTTTCGCTGGGCGTCTCACAGAGCTCATTTAGGAGTGCTCCCTGTGTTCCTAGGCCCTTGTTGGGAGACAGGTGGCTCCCAAGAACTCTCAGACCAAGGTCCTGGCCTCAAGTGACTCCAGATCTCAGGGAGACACGACCAGACACAGCCAAGTCAGTCCTGTGAGGTCAGGCTGGGGGCATCCAGAAGGGCAGCAGCCTTGGGGGCCTGGATGGTATTGGTGCAGACAGGGCAAGGTTGACCAGGCAGGAGCTACCGAAGAGATGGGCACCACAGCAGCCGGCGCACAAGTGTCAGAGCAGAAGGCTGAATGGCCAGGATAGGCTCAGGTGAGCGTCCAGGGGCCCAGAAGAGCTTGGGATGCCCTGTCCTGGGCCTGTTAGGCTAGAGTGTCCACAAGCGTAGGACACCTCCCAGGATCACTCCAGTCTTCAAAACCAGATTCTGTGGGGCATCCCAAGCTATTGGAGGAACCTACCTGGGAGAGCTGAGGGAGGACTCTCCTTCCCCAGCCTGTTTTCAGACAGAGGCCCTTGGCATTCTGCAGAGAGCCCAGCCCAGCTCCCAACAAGCCAACCACCCCCAGGCCTAGCAGAGGAGAGCAGTTTTTCTTGCTTGAAGTTTCAGAGGGCTTGGTGAATTTTAAAATCTCCAAGACCTGCCTGCACCTCACTTGCAAGGTGCAGCCACAGGACGGCGTAGAGCTGTTGGGCTTTGTGTCCCTGGAGAAACATCCCTGCGCTCTGGAGGAGTATCTGGTGACGTTGAAGCCAGGTCTCGGGAGTCGGCTTTGGGGATGTGTCCATCTCGGCTTCCCAGGCGCTCCCTAGGCTGCCGAAGTCACCGTCTGGGGAATTCTCCAGGCCTTACCTGAACCCCACTTCCAGGCTGATGGGGCTTAGAGCCCTCGGCCCAGACAGAGTCAGACCAGTACTGCTGGTCACCATGTAGTCTGTGTGGCACAGGCTCTTGTCTGCCGGCGCCAGGCCCTCACCATGGCGACAGGGATGGGCGTTTATGGCCCCTGATGGCTCTTGCTGAGTTCTGCTACATCCTGAGGATGCAGGGCTGCAAGTGGGGGTGGCCCTGTGTAGTCACGAGGCCAGGAGTCAGGATTGGAAGATTCCTGCATGCTGGTTCCCTCAGAGCCCCCTTCCATCTGTGGGGGCCTCCCATGAGAGCCAACTCAGGTGTAGAAGACAAACTGGAGGGACTGCTGCCCTCTCAGGACCTGGAACCCTGAATGAATCTGCATTTCTGATCAGCCCCCATTGTGGGTCCAGGGCTAACTGCCATCAATGCTTTTTCTTGAAAAGGCAGAAGCACCCAGAGTTGTCCATTGTCCATGCCCCTGTGAGGAGGTAACTGCAAACCCAGGAGTGAGCGCAGTTTGTTTTTCAGTGGTATTTAAGAGAGGGCCATTTGAGATGGGCTCTGAGGTAGGCATAAGAGTTCGCCAGATACAGAAGGAGAGCACAACCTGAGCTGGATTCGGTAGGTGGGTTCCAGGCTATCCCTACCCCAACCTGCACTGGGTTCAGCAAGTGGGGTCCAGGCTCCTCACTCCTCCTCACTGCTCTTGGTTGACAGGAGAGTAACAACATGGTGGTTCCCGCCATGCAGCTGGCCAGCAAGATCCCAGACATGTCGGTACAGCTGTGGTCATCAGCGCTGCTGAGAGGTGAGTGCAGTGGCCGCCCCTCCTCCCTGTCCCTAGCCTGGCCCTCCCCAGGGATCGGGGCTGCTGTGCACGTCCTGCTCAGCCTTGACTCGAACTAAGCTTCAATGGGCTACAGCCCCGGTTCTGGCATGGGTAGGGGGTGCTCCTCCAGGAGGCCCTGGTTGAGGTCAGTGGGTACATTTGTGGCATCTGCTTGACTCAGGGTCTGGTTCAGTCTCTACAGGACCCAGAGGCTGCTACATGGCACCTGGTAGACTTGGGCTGTGAGCCATGGCCCTCTCAGCCTTGCTCCTTCCCAGGAAGCAGACAGCGGCCATGCCTGTTGGGTAGGGCTGGCCAGTGTGCCCAGGGAGCAGCATAGGCACTCAGCAGGCATCAGTGCTGTTACCGCAGCTCCTCCATTTCCAGATTAGGAAACTGAGGTCCAGAGACTCAGCTGAGGCCCTGGGGTGTCGGGAGGTGACAGGAGTTGGGGTGCTCCATGTGCAGTGGGCTCCCTGGGCCGCTGCCTCAGGGTCAGTGTCAGGCATTGTGCCCCAGTGAGCGCTTGTTTGCCTGAGGGCAGGCCATGGGCTCCCTGGAGGGCTGCTGGGGAGCCTGGTATTGGGCTTTCACTGCCCAGCCAGCCCTGTTCTGCCCTATGAGGGTGGCTCGCACATGGGCTTTGTGATCCCAAGATGGGGCTCAGGGCCAGTGACATGTCAGGCACCCAGAGATCTACTGGCGCAGCTGGGACTTGACCTTGGGGCTCCAACTGCACCCAGTGGGAGGGACTGGGCAGTGACAGGGCAAGGCAGACCCCCATGCTCATGTCGCACTCTCAGACCTGAATAAAGCCTGTGGGAACGCCATGGATGCCCATGAGGCCGCCCAGATGCACCAGAACTTCTCGCAGCAGCTGCTTCAGGACCACATTGAGGCCTGCAGCCTCCCCGAACACAACCTCATCACGGTACGGGTGTGGGGTGCCTGGGGATGGGATCTCAGACCAGCGGGCTCCCCACCTGCAAGAGGAAGGTGCAGCTCGGCCCCTATTTGGCTTTGTCCAACAAACCCTAACTCAGCCTCAGGAGCTCCCTCTAATGGGGGAGATGGCTGCAGGCACCCCCACCCAAGCGGGTGACGCAGGTGCCTCCTCGGGGCTCGTTGGACTGGGGCGTGGAGGAGTCCTGGCTGGGTGAGCAGCCCAAGGAGGATAGCATTCCAGCCTCTTCTTCCCTGGGAACGGCCCACAGTGCCTCACTCGCATGTCCTCTCCTCCCGCAGTGGACGGACGGTCCACCTCCCGTGCAGTTCCAAGCTCAGAATGGACCCAACACCAGCCTGGCTAGCCTCCTGTGAGGCCCGGATGGGGCCATCCAGCTCCGCAGGGCCTGCATGTCTCCGGCTTCCACCCAGACGGCACTCAAGCTTGCCCCCGAGGCATGCTTCCTTCCTGACTGTCTCTAGAGCTTCCAAGTCCTGGGAATGTGCGGGGCCAGTCCCTGCCCTCCCAGGAGGGGTGGCGGCCGTTGCCACCTCGCACTGGGCCCCCAGTGCAGAGGCTCACAGGTGGCACTCAGGCGCCATCTCCCCAGAGCCACCACCCTTCAGAGTGGACCTCAGTGCCTCAGTCTTGCCTCTGCATCTGGGTCATGTTGGCCAGGAGCAGGGTGCAGGCCCCTGGCAGATCCTGATCCTGTGTGCTAGGGCGGCGGTGCCCCAGGGGCACCGTGCCTGACTCCATCGCCCAGGCCTTGATGCCGAGCAGGTGGAGTGTTTCCTCTGCTCAAGGCAGTTTCCAGAGCGCGGATGCCAGTTTCTGGCCTGAATTTGGAGGGAAGAAGTGATGGCCCGCGTGCGGGACAAAGCACAGATCCCAGCACTTTTCCCAGCTTTCTCTCCAGCGTCGGTCCCTGCAGCAGCTGGGGCCTCTGGTCAGGAACCCTCAGGGACCCAGGAACTCAGCTTCCAAACATCTGCACCTTGACTGGACTCGCCATCCCACCATGGGGGGTGCAGGTGACCGTAAACATGGGTGTGCGTGTGTGTGCACACGGGTGTGCAGTGAAGATCCATGGAGCTGGAGCTGGAGCTCCTGTTGCACCAGCCACCTTCCCCCATCCTTTGGCTGCTGAGGGGCAGAAAGTAGGGGAGCGGCTCCTCTCCCAAATTTAAGATCACCTCCTCAGCTAGCTTAGGGTGCATGGCATGGCCCCACCCCCAGATCTGGAGCACAGGGACTTTGTTCCTGGCAGATCTGTGGCCTTCCCTGTAGAGGATGTCTGCGGGCAGTGGCTCAGCCTCCTGGTCCCCTACCCTCCCTGTCCCCCCTGCCAGGTGTCAGGCACAGTGTGAAACCCCCTCCCTAGCCAGGCCCCAGGGAGCTTCTGCTGGGTCCAGAGAGCAGTGTTTGGTTTTACCCACTTTTAGATAATCAGGAGGTCACAATGTGGCATTGGGAGGTGGCGTCAGGGGTTAAGACATCAGCATCAGGCGTCAGGGCTCAAGACACCACCTCCTCCAGCTTCTGGAGCCCAGGAGCCTTTCCCTGCTGCAGGTGGTGGGGGTCCTGCTCGGCAGGGTAGGTGGTGGTTTCAGGTCTTGTTACCCTTGCTTTGTGGAGCTGCCTCTGGGACCTTCCGCGTCTGTGACTGAAGGGACGCTGGATTGCTCGGGTCAGCTGCTCAGGATCCCCAGGCTGGGCGTGCCTTAGCCAAAGGCAGGGCTGTCAATAACCCCCTTCTTCACTGGCTACCACCCGCAGCCAGGCTGACATCAGCACCAGTGACAGGCTGGTCAGAGGGACGGGGATGGACCACCACCATCTCTGGGTCACTGGGGGAGAGCCTGGCCCTGTCTGTGCTACCCAGTGCTGCCTCCAGGCCCATGAGGCCAGTAGGAGAGCGTATGGCACTGGCTGTCCATACGCTTGTGGCTGGTATGTCCACAAGCTGTCCCTGTCCTGACTTCCAAGCCATGGCCTCTGCCGGCTCCACCTTGAAAGAGCTTCCCAGGTCCTCCCCTTCATCCCTGAGATGCCACCACCTGTGTCTCCACAATATGCTCCTGCCCACCTGGGCCCCGCATTGTCCAACCCCTGCACACCACACTCACGTCACCACAGCATGCGTCATGTTCGCCCCCATCTATTTATTTAAGCCTTCTTTGCTTGTAGGGCATTTTGTATGTAGAGCAGTTGAAAACGGAACCTCAGAACTTAACATCTGCCCTGATGTTAAAGTGCTTTTCATGACCACCCTGTTATCTATGTATATGTAAAGTTAAGGAGGAGATCTTAAGTTTACAATTAAAAACTCAGTACTCGATATTTAATATTCTCCTCGAGCTTTATGGAAGCCAAATCATGTGCGTGTGTGTGTGTGCGTGTGTGCGAGCTTTGAACCTCCTTCCACGGCCACATCTGGTGACACAAAGCTTTTGATAAGTATCTTCCTGTGGGTCACTCAGCGCCTCATGGCATCTCATTCAGCTGCAAGAATAGAGGCCAGACAGTGACGCATGCCTATAGTCCCAGCTAACTGGGGGGCTGAGGCAGGAGAATCACTTGAGCCCGGGAGATTGAGACTGCAGTAAGCGTGGTGGCCACTGCACTCCAGCCTGGGCGGCGGTGAGACCTTGTCTCAAAAAGAAAACAATGGAAGGCAGACAGCAAATCCCTGAGGACACATCACACAGTGTCCTATAGCTAAGTGTCTAGGAAAAAACAAAAACTCCAGACCCTTTGGTGTACGAGGATAAGGAGGGTGCAGAAAGGCATTCTGTTGGCAGATGAACAGCTGAAAGTTGGCGGTACCCTCCTGTATGCCCCTGCCCTTGTCCTGTGGCCCCCAGGTTGGGGGGTCTGACCAGGAGGCCACCCACGGCAGGAAGTGAGGCCTATGTGTTTCCTTCAGACACAGCTGCCTCTCCCCAGCTCTGTCCCCATAGTTGCCTGCTGGTGGGCAAGGGTCCTCTCCCTGGGGTAAGCACTCCCACCCCCGTTCATCAGAAACACAGGCAGGGAAATCGGACCTGCCACCCAGCCCAGCATGGTGGCTCAATTTGTTGGTTGCGTTGTCTCTCCGTTTTGTTAAGGTTTTTAATAAGTACGTTTGGCATAATGTCTTTTAATGGGTTTGTAATATCGTAACGGTTTTAGCAGCCTGTAACTTTTCAGCTGGTGCTTTTACTTAGGGAAAAAAACAGTTTGTAAATACAGAACATTGTTTAAAAGACGTAACCATAGAACATAGCTTCCTGTTTGTGGATTTCATTTCCTATATATTCAAAGTAAAATGACTTACAGGAGCCATGCGCTGTGTCTTTGTTGTTTCCTCTGTCTTCGAGCCATCCCAAAGACAGCTGCCACCCTCCCTGCCATGCCTGGGGGGGTCCCCTCTGTGGCAGGATCTTCAGCTGACAGCATGAGGCTACCGTCTCCAAATCTGAGCCAGGTGACGTGATGGAAGCCTGAGTCCCCATGCCCCTCCATTGATCATTTTCCTCTGGTCCAGCCTCACCTAGAAGGGAGGGAACCCCATGCTCCATCAGCACATGAGGCTGGAATGACAAGCATGCACCACCATGCCAGTCTAATTTTTCTAAATTTTTTAGACACGGGGGTTTCACCTTGTTGCCCAAGCTGGTCTCGAACTCCTGCACTCAAGGGATCCGCCTGCCTTAGCCTCCCACAGTGCTGGAATTACCAGTGTGAGCCACGTCACCCAGCCTTACCCATGCTTTTACGGATAGTCTTCCCCCTTGTGGCAACTGTGAGTGTTGCTTCCCCCTTGTGGCAACTGTGAATAGCGCTGCTCTGAAAACGGCCCTGTGAGTTTTGGCTGGAGCAGATGTTTTCAATTCTCCTGGGCTTTGCCTGTGTCTTTACCGTGCACAGACGGGGCCACTCAGCACACACACCGGGTGTGAGGGCCCTCATGCCGCCTCAGTTCCTCATGAGAGATACACAGGTCATCTTAGCCTTGAGCTCAAGGGGCTCAGTTGGATGTGCGACATTTTTTGTTTTGCTATGTGTTGTTTAGAGAGTCCCACTCTTGCCCAGGCTGGAATGCAGTGGCGCAATCACTTGAGCCTCACTGCAGCCTCAAACGCCTGACCCCAGGCGAGCCTCCCAAGTAGCTGGGACTGTAGGTACGTGGCAACATGCCCATTTTTTGCTTGTTTGGTTTTTGGTTTTTTTAGACAGAGTCTTGCATTGTCGCCCAAGCTGGAGTACAGTGGCGCAATCTCGGCTCACTACAGCCTCCGCCTCCTGGGTTCAAGTGATGCTCCTGCCTCAGCCTCACAAGTAACTGGGACTGCAGGCACCTGCCACCATGCCCAGCTAATTTTTTGTATTTCTTAGTAGAGACGGTTTCACCATGTCGGCCAGGTCGGTCTCGAACTCCTGGGCTCAAGCGATCCTCCCACTTTGGCCTCCCAAAGTGCTGGGATTACAGGCATGAGCTTCCATGTCAGCGCTGTGTGAGTGTTTGAGTTCCCACATGATGAACACAGCACCCTCACCGTCAGTGCTTGGGCTCCCTCGCCCCATCCCCACCAGCTC